GACGACGCAGTGAAATCCCTTGTATCAATGTCGAATTTACCAGCACTAATCGTCTTAAACTTGCCGTCTGGATGCGGAATGAAAAATAAAGAACCCAGTCAGAAAATATTCAGCCGAACAACAACACTCAGTGTAAATATTTAGTCATTTTTTCTTGAAATACTGTATATTTCAGACGGCGCAGTGAAAACACTTTCACTTACTATCTATCTACGTTCACTTGCTATCCATGGCAGACACATTTGGTATTTCGTATTTCTATTACATAATAAATATCACGATTATAATTTTTTTCTTAGAAATATTTCAAGTTAAGTCAAGCCAAGTCATCTTTATTCAGGCAGGGTAGCCCTATCAGCTATAGGCTGGTATCAGAAGGGGCCCTGCGTAAAATCAAGGCTACATGATAAAAAATTCAGAATTTAAAAATTACCTTAAAGTTATGTACAAGGAGTTTAAAAATTGAATAAAAAGGAAATTACATATCTATGAAGTACTATTTTTCTAGATCAATACAACAAAAGAGAACAACCAAAGTGTATCTAAGTATTATATTGGTAGAAAACTAATGGCTAAAATGAAAACTAAGAGAGTTCTCAAAAATGGAAAGCGACGTGGTTTCTTTACTGATGTGGGTAAATAATTAAAAAGAACCGCGCCTGAAAATCTACATGTGTTTTTCCCTAGCGTTAACTTAGAGTTCGGTAGGTTAATGTCGTTCCTTTGTCTTTTCTTGTAAGTTTCTAATGAAATAATCCGATAAATATGGAGGAGCTAAGTCATTTAGACATTTAAAAACTAAGATACTTTTGTCGGCTTTCCTTTGTGTTTCCAAATCAACCCATCCTAATATATAAAGCGCTTTTTTGCAGATATGTTTCAAATAAATAATGCAGTGGCAATCTTGTGGTATCTGACCTTCTATCACAATCTGGTTCACAACAATTGGGTTTTTTCTGTCTCCATTGTCGTAATATCTCACACGTGCCTGCACAAAACAAGGTAAAGAACAAATAATAGAAATTAAGCCATAAATAAAACCATTATCTTACATAATTGACTACTCCCCAATGTGGCGTTTCAGGGCCAATGTCAAAATAACATACATTAGTTTAAAATCTCAACTTGCAGGAGGCAGACCACTTGAAGACGACGAAGAAATAACAAAGACGAAAGAAGAGGGGATGAAGCCAAAAAGAGGGAGTAGCAACAGCAGCAGCAACAGCAGCAGCAGCAGCAGCAGCAGCAGCAGAAGAAGAAGAAGAAGAAGAAGAAGAAGAAGAAGAAGAAGAAGAAAAAGAAGAAGAAGAGGAAAACAACAACAACAACAACAAACTTGGTGCTTCTCTTACCCCGACATTTGGCGATTTGAAGTCCAGTTTTTGTGCCTCCCTTCTGAACACATCTGTTGCATTAGCATCTCCGTATGTCAAATTCTCCAGTATTTTTCCTTGTTTCTCGAGCTCAATTCTTGAGTTATCCAACACGAAGGCTATCGACCAAACGGCATCGTAAACATTTAAATAACTACTACTTCTGTTTGATGTGTCGTTAAACGTGTCCACTCTGGCTCGATATTCCTGGATTATCTGCGATCTACTCTATTAAGAAAAAAAATACGTCAATTAATCAGAGCTATTTCTTTGCCCAGTTGCGTATAAATGGTAAAGCACTGGAGAGGTACCGTCTCTGACACTCAGCGCTACGCATCAAATGTTTTTGATATTAATGGAATTTGTCTAAAAAAAATACGTTAATTTGTTTTACGTTCTGCGCCTCTTAACCTAGGGCAATCTTCTCCAATCTTTAAGTCCCATATGCATTTTCATTCTTTGTGCATTACGGGACAGGATAGTTACCCGACAGATGTGTTCATGAAACAAAAAATGTATCTTTTTTAGTGTATACATATTTGTGTCAGGGGGTCAATTACTTCAGACAGTCCAGAGCACACCTCGAACCGTAATCATGAAGGCCTTCAAACAAGCTAACGTTCACAAATATAAGAATGCAGATTGAAAGGGAATAATGATAGCAATAATAACAACGAATTTTTAAACAGGATGACCCATCACTGTATTCAACACTGTTATCAGAGGTAAAAATGGGTAAAAAAAGGCGTGCAAAATTAGTAAAAATGTTCACTTAAGCTTATGCTAAATAAAAATCTTGAAGTTATGGGTCTAAATTCGATTGGCAGCTCATTAAAAATCTGGGCTCCTTGATAGTGAAAGCTCTTCTTCCTAAATTCAAGGCGAACTTTAGGTAGTTGTTCCATTTGAGCCGGTGACCATCCTTCTCCTCTAAAGGTTTATCATCAGATTTTGGCGCCTGTCAACATTTTTTTTTATCTTTCTTGTGATTTAAGGTTACTTTGTACACTGCGAAAAACAATTTAATACATCGTGGACTGTGTCCTTTAAGTTGTGAAAAAGGGACTTAAAAGCGAATGTGCAGCTCGACACCACTCTGACTGACCCAGGAATATGACACAAGAGATTTCAAGTTTTTGCTGTCTTCCTTACCTTATTATTGTAGCTAAAAGAGTGTCCTGCGGAAGTGATCAGGTTGCTGTGAAAAACAGAAAAGTGGTTTTGTATTTGGCATTTCATTTCAATATCAGAGCATGCGCTGTTTTCCCTTGCTCCGGGTATCCACCACCGGTTTTTGCTGTTAAGGAATATCCAGACGTAATGCGGACCGTACATCTTCTCTCGGTAAGCCTGGAAGAATCGCAGAAACGCTGTTTAGTAAATATCAAACTTAATTTTAGTACCATCGGGTTATGATGGCAAACTAATCAGTTCAAAGCAATGGTCAAACCACTCTGCCAAGTCTGAACTGGCAAATCCAAACTGTAGGTCACTTCGTAACAGGTTAATTTCATAACACGAAAATTGCAGTGATCACTGAGGCAATAAAAAATGTCAGGATATTCTTTTAAAATGAACTGATATCAGTCCATTTTATAGTCAGTAATTCTTACCTCGCAAATCATTTTCCGTGCGACGGAATTACGTGGAAACATTCCAAGAATAACGTGTATCCCCTTGTCCTGTGCAGAGACGAAGTAGAATACGATTAAGGACTTCATAGATTACCAGATTTTAAAGATTAGCTCTGCTTAGCTGATGCATCTAAGAGGGATGATGTTTTAGAAAACAGTCCTGAGAAAATACGCGCGCTGATTGGTTAAAAGTCGTGGTTCTATAACTCGATAGAAACACAGAACTAGCACGAGCTGTTGACGTAATTAATGATGGCGAGAGCAAAGAGAATTTACATTTTGATAATCAAAGTTAACAAGTTGTTTTCCTTCTTTTCGTCGCTGTGTTTGCTAAAAGAAATAAAAACATGTTCTCCGTGTTTCTATCGAGTTATACTAACACTCGTGAACGTTTGGGAGAACTCGCAAAAGCTGTAGAAACACTCGCCTGTGGCTCTTGTTCCCACAGCATTTCTCGTTCTCCCAAATTTCCACTCGTGTTTCTATAACTCGATAAAAACACAGTACATGTTTTCTATTTCTTAAATGGAACGATTTTATCGTCATATTCAGTTTCGGAATGTGTACTAGCTTTCTTTTTGGAAGCTCAAAAAAAAAACAAAAAAAAACCAAACAAACAAAAACAACAACAACAACAACAAAAATAACAGAGTCTATCAATAGCTAGGATAGTCAAAAATCATTAAAACTCATTCATACATTGAAGCGAATCTCACGGAGAAAACTTTTCTGAGCTTAAAAAAGCTGAATTAAAAACTCGAAAGCTCTACGCACCTTCAATGTCCTGATAGCCCGCTTTGGGTCATTGTTCTGTAGTCGCACTTCTGCTAAGACTTTGATGTTCTTTTTCCTCAATCTGTCTGCTAGTTGGTTGGATAGCTAAAGAATAGAAAAGCATCAGAGAAGGTCTTATTGGTGCTCAACTATAAATCACATTAGGGATCTTTAAACTTTAATTTTAATATGAAACCACCAAATTTTCTTAGTTGCATGGTCTATCACTATATTCCGTTGTGTACAATTTCTGTTAAGTTGTCGCACCACTTCCTTCGTTGAAAACGGTAAAAAAGAAATTGGTGGCCTGGAAAGTTACCTGCTGACTAAGACGACTGGGTTGAGTAACATATGCAATGTAGGAATTCAGTTTAAAAAGAGTATATTCTGGCGTCGGGTGAAATTTTTTCAAATATACACTGTATAAACAACTACTGTTAGGTTGAAGTACGATCCAGTTTGTTTTACCATATACAGCGTACTGTTCATGATCATTTTTCACCACTGTATGCTGGTCTGCGTGCCTTCATATTAACTTATCTCCATTAGGCAACCGTCTTGTTTTAGTTAAGGCTAAAGCGCAATCACACTTTTAGTATTTTACTTGCAAATATTGCAGGCTGTCTCCGTAGATTATTCCCACTTCATCCCATCCGTATTCCTTGACAAATTGTATTCTTGGTTCATCAAGTGAAGCCAGAGATGTTGTTGTCCGAAAAAAATTAGGATATAAGTCTCTTCTGCTCGCAAGCTCCAGATCATTTGTTCCGTAAGAGAACTGCAAAGTAGAATAAAGCATATCTATTTACTGCGAGTTTCTCAGGCGGTGTGCGAGTCTCCAAACTTAAGCACTCGCCCGAAAACTGATCATAAAAGTTTATTGAGATAGAAAAACAACCAAGAGTCATAACAGAAAAACGTACCGCATGATATAATAAGAAAAACACACATAATCATAACGAAAAAAGCACCTCATAAAGACAAAAGCACCTCATTACGTAACGAAAAAACTCCTCATAAAGACAAAAGTARCTTTTCAAAAAGAAAGAAGTACCCCAGATAATGATAAAAGCACCTCATCGATATCATGGCGAGAGCACTTCATAAAGACAAAAGTACCTCATCATAGGGATAAAAGCACCTCATACAGATAAAAGTACATGATAATAATAAACCATTAAGAAACAAGGATGGCTGAGGATGGAGAAGATTAACACGGATTACAGACGACGAACTTTAATTGAAAAATTCAGGCTATTTTTTTAGATGTACAAACCATGACGTAGCTCCTTTAACTCCGCTTTGTGTAGAACGAAGCGGCTAGAAGTATTGTTAATGCCCCTCCCCCTCCCCCCCTGAAAAAAATTGTCAGATTGCTCTTACAGTGCCGTGTACCCATGTACATTCCTCTACGGTGCTATGAGAGTAAATTGTCTTGTCCAAGAACACAACATAATCAGAATGGCCCACAATACGAAACAAATAGCCTTCAAGATGAGGATAGATACCTGCAAGAGATTAACATCGGGTATTCCGGAGTAGGCAGCTATTGACTTGGCTAACGAATTTTCGGCTGGTCCCAGCAGCATGATTTTTCTCTCTCCGGTGTTTAGAAATTCGTTGAATACTTGTTGCCCAATTCCAAGACTGCCCTGTTGTACAAATAAAGGCATCCTTTTAGAGAGACATTGTAAATGTCGACTTAAATGAATTTAATTTATTAGTAATTTTATTGGGAGTGGCCCCGATTAGTCAGCCTCCGGGCTGACTAGAAGTTTTAGACACTTAAAGTTTATTGATTGATTGATTTATTGATTGATGGAATTACTGAGTTATTAAATAGGCAGCGAGGTCCTGCTTGCGAACAGAAAGTCATAATAAAATTTTAGAAGTCTTCTTATTACGCTCTTTCAAAACAATTTCTGACTTCTGACACAAAAAATTATTTTAAATCGAAAATGAATAGGGCTGGCAAGTTAATTATTCTTTTAATTTCATGCAAATATAGGACATTATGAAGAGTTTCACTATATTAGTACTCATTTTGAAACTGAGGAAATTTTGGCAGGGACAAAAAATATCACTACATGTATTTATTTCACTTAAAGGGAGGACACAGAAACTTAAAAATTGTCAAATGAAAGAACTGTACAATCAAATAAGAAACGTACACGAAGACCACAGGGGTTGTTCGAAAGCCGGTTAACGCTAACCCAGAATTAAAAGTTAAGCGAAGAATAAATTTTTCTTGAATAGAAATGTTTTTGCTGCTTATGTTTTAATTTTTTTTTGTATTTTGAGATTATTCAAACTCAAAACAGAAGGCTAAACGATATAAACAGAAAACCTCACCACAAAGTTACAACACGCAAATCAAAATTCACGCTCATCCTGCAGTGGGTTAGCTTAATTATAATCGGGCTTTGAACAACCCGGCCCTGAAGTATAACATATTCGTAAGGTCTCGCTCTTGATGACGAAAGTTTGCCCAGTTACATAGACAGTCATTTTCGAGGGGAAAATAAAGAAATTTCGCGCGAGACATTCAGCAATTAAAATTTCAGAAAAGCCTTGGTTTGACAAGTACTGGCACCCATGCGGATTAACTATACAATGAACATTTTTATAACTTACTTGAGTTGACTTGACCACCAACTCCAGTTTGTATCCTGGCAACAGACTTGTGTTGATGTTGATTTCCTCGATGGCCTGTTGCGCCATCGGAAGGCTACCGTATCCATCTTTCTTGCTGAGGTCAAAAAACGCTCCAATGTACAATGTTGTGAGCTGTACTTGTGTTGCATTGCTGCTGCTGTTTGTAGAGATGCTTGTATTTGTTGAATTGGTCACGTTTGTCGCTTTGGTGAGTTTGGCAAACAAGAAAAGCGTGACGCAAATGGTGATAAAACTCTGCTTCATTGTCCAATCTGCAAGAAAGAGAAAAAAACGAAGAACATCTTATAAACGGTTAGCGAAATTTAAAATTCAAGGCAAAAAAAAAAAAAAAAAAAACTGGCAAGGAGTACCGTGGCAAACCGTTGCACAGTTGAAGGTTATATATGTATGTAGGCTGTTCCAATTTCGGGTTTTCTGTAGACTTACTTGGCTAAAGAAGTACCTCAATTTCCTTTTTCACGATATGATAATTAAGCTGAATATTATTTGAAACGACCCCTTAAACCAAGCATAAACGGTTGTTTCATAATGTTCTTAGCTTGATATTAGATTCAATTTTGTAAGTAACTTCGCTTAATTATCTCTTACTTAAGCTCTTTTGAAGGTACCAAGCAAGAAAACTTGATGTTAAACCTGTTTTGTAGATTCTTTCCAATTCACGTATTTAATCAGTTTTCCTTCATTTATATTCATTTTGCAATCGTGAATCACAGTTTACTGAAAAGATTTAAATATGTCAAGAGAACTGAATACACTGCTGTTAGAGCTACTTTGAATTGAGTGTCGTAAAACCAAAACCAAACTAAATACTTACCAATTAGACTACTCAACCAATCTCAAACCAAAAGCAAAAGCAAATTATTAATTGCTTCATTACTTTCGACACTCAACTGAAAACCGCTCTAGCTAAGCAATAAACACGAGCATTCTCTTAACATATTCAGTAGGTATTAAATTAAAACCTTTCTGTCCATTTTTCTAGCCTTTATTTATAGTTGTTGCAATAAAAAGTAAAACATTTTTTTTCACCAGAATGGTTGGTTCTACTCAGGGATTTTTCCTGCCGTTTTCAATACCTTTTAAGAGATCTCGAGTCCTAGACACTAACGATTTAATGGCGCCTTGCTGACTAAGTGACAATTAGTTCTTTGTTACAACGATTTTCTCTTACCTTAATGAAAACATGATTGGATTTTTGACTGTGAGTGAAATGAATTCTGTTTGTGTCTGTCTGACGTGAAAGGATGAGCGATTACAATGTGCGTCAAGGGTGTAAAAGAAACTAAATCAAGCGAATTCACTATCCGCATATTCTGTGGCTCAAAGAAACACTGATGCATGCTGCATACGAAAAATTAACTCTTCATATCCTTATTTCACGTACAATCCTCAGGGAATACAAATAGGACAGGCCCTTAATGACTTCTACATCCGTATCTTCATTAATTGCATGTGCCTAAGAACGAACAAGAGCGCTCCCTTTTAATGACTTTTACACTCTTCTCAATTATTGTTTTCGAGAAGGATTAAGAGCAGGCCTTTTCAATGACTTTTACTCTCTTGTCTCCATTCATTGAGGCTAAGAAGGATCAAAAACAGGCCTCTTCTCTCCATTCATTTGGCCCAGCAAGGATAAAGAAGAGGCTTTTTAAATGACGCTCACAAATTACATTCTTCTGGTTCCACTGATTCATTGTACCCAGGAAGGATCAAGATCAGGGGCCCGTTTCTCGAAGGTCCCAAAAAGTTTTCGCAACTGGAAAGCCCTAGCAAACTCTCAAACTCTATGATTACAGAGCTGATTTATTCACATATTCTTAATAGAAACAGAGGTTCCATTCTGTAAAAGAAGTTTCAGGCGTATACACCTCTCTTTCTTTTAATACCGATTAACTACAAATGACTTTTCGGGCCCGAAAAGATTCCGGGGCTTTCGAGAAACGGGCCCCAGGCCTGTTTAATGACCTCTACATTCTTCTCTCCATTCACCTGGCCCAAGAAAGATCAATTACTTAAGTTTAAGGGCTTCTACAAAGGGAATGTGTGTGTTGAGCTCATCGAAATGCGGTTTGATGTTTCCCGTTGTAAAAGTGCTAATAAGTGTCCACGTATATGCGTAATCTGCCAGCGGTATTTCCCACAAAGCTGGCCGGAGCAGAGTCTATTTTTAACTAGAAGACAAGCTGGCAAAACAGGCAGAACTTTACTAAGTTACACTAATGCACCCTTTTAATTTCTATAATCACAGCCTCTATATTGTAACCTTCCTTAATGGATTAAACTGGGCTTAGTGTGTTCTCCTGGAGGTCGAAAAGTCAGCCAAAAGTAGATCAAAATCAAGACAAAAGATTTCGAATCATTGAGCAATAATCACATATCCAGTGCTTATAACTTGTGTAGTAAAACGACAGACCCACTTTGTGTGAATGACCTACCACTGTATTTTTTTAGCGTGAATGAAAGTTGTCGGAAATTTAAAAGGTCTCACAAACGTAACAGACGTGATTACTGTGGCAAATATGAGTTAATGGAATACAATGAGCTGTTGGTGTAAAAATGTGAAAAAAATAGTGAAAAACGTCAAATTTTTGCAGACGCTTCAGACTTTCAGGACGGCTGTATGGCAGCTGCATGCAACCGTTTCGTTCCGTTTCCTTCAAACCTGGCTCGACGCCTCAATTTTTCCGGTACATGTTTATTGCGGATAGTTCAGTATGATATTGGCTTTCATTACCGAGTAAATTTGTAAACGCAAGTTTTTAAACATTGACGTCAGCAAAGATGACGCCTGGCCCTAAATTTCTAACACTTGCACGCTCTCGAACTCGTTTATTGTTTAGTTCACTTAGCTTTCATCAAGACCACCGTGACATTCCTTCCTTAACAATGTAATGTATAACAAACGGATAATACTATTTAGAGTGCTCAGTTCCACTGAAACAGATGCGCACAAAACATACTAAGGGCATATGATAAAAGTGCATGCAAGTACCTCAAACAAAAAGCAGTCATGAGATTGTTAATTCATCAAACTGAGAACAGAAAATTCAGTGAATAATTATACATCAGATCATCATTTGTGTCTAAGTACGTCACAAGACATATAAAGATGTCGGTAGCTCGGCAAGCTCATATATATACGGTTAAGGAAAATTTAAAATTCAAGGCAAAAAAGGATATATATGTATGTAGGCTGTTTCAATTTCGGGTTTCCTGTAGTCTTACTTAGCTAAGAAAGAAACCGAATTTCTTTTTTCACTCTATGATAATTAAACTAACTTATTTGAGACGAACCCTTAAACCAACCATAACCGGTTGGAAACCCATTAATTTGTCAACTTTGACCAATTTTACTACGTTTAGCTTGACTTACGCCATGTTAGCTAATAAAAGGATGATATTTCAAAATAATTTCTCCAATCAAGTCAAGTTACGTGACCTGAAAATTCAGTATCTTTTTGCTACTTAGAACTGGCCTGGAACAAATCCACCCAGATTATCCGATGTCTGCTTCACTTATTAACAAACGACACGGCATCAACCCTAGCTAAGTTACATCGGAATTTTGGCTAAAAATTAGGCAGTCTACCCTTTACAAATAACCATCTTCAGTGAGTAAGAGAATTTGAAAGAAAAAAATGGCTCCCTGCTTTTCGACTCAACTGGTGCAAACTCCTCGTGACCAGCCTTAACCAAATACATGGCTTGTTACTCTCTTTCACGACTGAAAGAAGTTACCAAACCATGCAATGATTGCTTTGAATTTTTTCGTGTCACTAGAAACGTAAGACCAACGTACATCAACACCGCGTGAAAAATTGATATGCATGTAACGTACCTTTTTCTTGTATTTGCCAATTTTTGGCTACTGCATCAAGGGCTCTGTGAGTGTTTTTAATATCACCTCAAGTACTTTTATACGTATATAACACTTCATAACGGGATCCTGACACCTTTTTCTTGGGATTACAGTGAACACTGACACCTTTCTGTAGTCAATAGAAATTAACATAACTGAACTTCGTGACGTTATCAGTAGACACTAAATTCAAACATGCCTGTGCATTTGTTTGCATGTGTCATTTTCTGTTATCTAGTGAGAAATGTCAAAATACCAGCACACAAAGCGTTTTTAATAATCCCTTTTGCAAAGCATAATTAATCGTATTTACGGCAAAGTACGGATTAACGGGGCTTAACTCGGTTTTGCTTTATGACTTAATAACGTCAAACTTTCTAAAACAACTTACGCATTATCGACTTGTAATCTGAATACAATACGTTCAGATCAAAATTTTTCGCTAGCTCTAGCCTCAGGCAGGAACTCTGAAGCACTTTGTTAGTTTATTTTGGAGAAATTTACATTATTAGCTTATTAGTTATTGTACATCGCTTTCGTCAGGTAAGAAGTAATCGAGTAGTTGCTTTCAATTCCAATTAATGCATTTAAGTCACTCAAGACTTTGTTTGACAACCATTTTTCACCACGTTGTTAAATGGTCCCTTGTGGGGTCTAGCAATTTTAGAGGAGTGACTTAGCGTTATATAATTTATTCTTCATTTACTGGAAATTGTTGTGGGTGCCCGCAAGATTACACCTAATCCTTCTCTTCCGTTTAATTTAGTTTTCTAGTTTAGCTTTTGTCGTTCTGTAAAGATTTAACCGAAGGAAATAAAGATCGCGTCGTGTGTGGTACGATGACAACGCCACGTAATTGCAATATCAGTATATAATAGACCGTTAATAATGAGTGCCCTTTGAAAGAGAATATTAACATAAATTGGCTATTTCAACTTGGTTGTGAGCTAATTCTCTAAAGATGAAATCGTTATGTTAAGAAAAAACCTTGACTTGTGCCTATGTTTAGCTGTCACAGCTCCTCAAACAAATGTGAAGCCAAGAAAATGAGTTGATTTTGACGTTTTTGGTTGCCATAACAACTCCTACGTAACAAGCTCACTTGGTAAGCAGAACTTAATGAAATGATTCTTGCCATAAAAGACGTCCAGTTTTGACGTCAAAGAGCTGAACCAATCGTTTACCTTGTACTAATCTGTTGCGGAAAAATCTTTTGCCATTCACCAAATTTTGACAGCCTGCAAACATTTCTCTCTTTCAATTCTTCTGCCACAGCCAAAAACACTTTATTCAGACTTAACTGTATTACTTCATGGAATCCAATAGACGACAGTTTGTCTCTTTTTTCTGTCCTCTTTGTTGAATAAACTGAATTCGGTCGGCATACATGTTCGATCGCCGAGCCGCCATCTTGACTTTCGTGCCCAGGTTTTCAATACTCGACGCCGCCAACATTCAATGGCAAATGGAATTAAAATAAAATTTATTGAGTGTAAAATGTAAGCATCCGTATGCTCAATATCTGCGAGGGAGCCTTTTAATATAATGGTAAATTAAGGACATTCAAACGAGCGTACTGAGAAAAAATGTTATTAATCCCCCTTTTTTTCTCGACTTTGCGAAAAATTGGGATTAGTTTTAAAGTAATCAATGCACTAATAACGGAGGTATCGCTTGCCTGAATCTTCGAAAAAAAAAAAATCTAAGTTTACTGCGGCAAAATCTAAACTATCTAATTCTGCATTTTTTTTTTCAGCGAGCCCGTTACAGACATCTGGTCATTCACTGCTCAGTGCCTCTGTAATATCTTGGTGAAGTTACCGTTTTAGCTCGATCCTGGAGAGCGCGCGCGGGCGCTCATTTTAAAATCTACAAATCCAAGTTGAAGGGCATCCATGTCTCAGTCACAACTCAGTGTAACGTCTGTAGATCAACAGCTGTGCTGCTTTGCTCTCTTAGTTATTGTTTGTCCATTAGCTGGAGACCGAAAGGCTGCCATTACAGATCGTTTTTATATTTAGGCTTTCTATGCTTCGCGCACAGAGCGGCCGCACCGGAGTTTTAATTCAAATGCACTTATTGTTGTTTGCTTCTTCATATTACCTCGACAGCTAGATTCTTGTTCCTTTTCGGTTCTGCTTCCACTTACACAAAGTCAGACGAATTGTCTTTGATCTCATTTTCTCCGGACTCGCCAGATTTTTTAGTTGATCGCCAGACTACCAAGGAGAAAACGCAGGTTATTGCTCCAAAAAGGAGAAAAATAAAGCCAAACGCTGTCAGCACGACAGCCGTTTCTTCAGTCACGTTCCAACAAAATTGCGATTGTTCTTTTCTCCCGAAACACTTGAAACCATAAGTCAAGTAAATGGCTGAAGGAGTGATGAATAAAAACACGCTTAAAGCAAGACCGCATAACCCAAGATCAACCATAGTTTTAAACAATCAATTTCTAGTACGTGCGTTATGTTTGCCGCTTTTCAGAAAATCACAATGATTACGATCTGTTACGTAGAGATAACAACTCCTTAATGAGTAGCCACCACACTCTATCAAGATATTATTGTGCAAATGTTCCTTGAAATTGAAAATGCTAAATTAATACATTGGTATTAAAAAGGAAACTCGTCGTGTTGGTTCAGCTGCCTTGCGAGAATCAGTTTTCGACAAATAAGTCTGCCAGGAAAATTTTCCAAGAAAAAACATCGCTATTGGCAAACTAATCCCCTTTCGTTTTGTTTCGATATAACTCCGCTCTGTGAATTATAGATCGAAAAGGATAAGTAATCCCTTTTTATAGTTTTAATTGTAAGCAAAAATCTAAAATAAATGGAAACTTTAAGCTTTCTCTATGAAGAAGACATTAAGACTCCGCTAAGAAACAGCTGTGTTTGATAAATATTGGCATCAATCCTTTTATTCTTGCAACAGGCAGTATTGTCCGACTGTTCACGAAATACGTGTTACTAAATAAAGATGAAAGGTTTCCAAACCAGATCCGCCGATCAGTGGATCTCAGATTGGCATCCAATTAAAACGCACAAAAAGGACCGCTCAAACATGTCATCTCCCCTGGTGAAAAAAGAATTATAATCCTCATTTCCGACAGGTTATATGTTTTCTAAGGAAGCAAACATAAAAGCTTTAAACGAAGCAGAGGGTTCCTTTATCAAACAGGCACGTATGAATTGTGCAATATTAAAAACGATTTTTTTTTGATGTGTATGATAATTTATTAATCTGACATTCAAGCGATTATTGACTGAATTCAAGCCTGTCTGAATATTTCCCGGTTGTAAGTGCGAATCTCGTAGAGAGAAACTCGTTTTTCTCGCCTTGTTTGAAACTTGCTCAAACACATACGCATTGAAATTCAGTTTCCCAGGACTGAAATTGTATTCGTTCGACAATCTGGTCTAAGCTTAGTGATTGACGGTCAAACGGCTAACCAAATGATTTACAATCGCCCATTAATTTTTTTTTTCCTGGATGACGAGTTTTAGAACTGGTACGAGCGACCATGCAAGAGAGATAATTTTTGCTCAAGTGAGGGAGTTATCCGGACCATCGACTTCGTTTCCGAGGCGGAGGAGTTTTTGCCGAACCCACGTTTTTTGTCAATGATGCAAAATCAGGTTCATTCATATATTTGCAGTCGCAATAATATACCGTCTTCTCGATGATTGGGAGATAAAACACATAATGACCTCACAGCTACGACAAACATGGCGAAAAAACGACCTGGCTAATGGCGTGGTACTACTGCTCAAATGAAGCCTTGTCTTTGCTTTGTCGCTATAAAAAGCGCGTAGTTTACAGGACATAAAACATGCCGCTTTAAATTTAAATTTAAATTATTTTTAAGAGCACTACTCTACGTAAACAGAACGTCTTTCTTCAATCGCGCTATCAATCGGTCCATTCCCCGCCAGGCTTACGTTGTGCAAACACTCTATTTTTAAACTTTTTTGTTGAGAACAAATTTTAAGCAATGTATCCGGCGTAGCAAGCGTTACTATACGAACGAAAACTCTTTTTCCGTCGAGATTTTGCTCTTGCCTCAATTTTCGCGCGACCAGCAGGCGAGAATCAAACTCTTCGCTAGTCTGGGGAACGCAAGCAATGCAGGCCATAAGCAATATATACGGACACCTAGAAAGTCATTATAAAAAAATCATAATATTCTTGTAATCAAGTCTTGATTTCTAAGTGTTTATTACAGCTATATATATAAACACGTGGGATCCTTTCTAACACGCAGTTTTTCTCCTTATCTGCACGATCAGCAGGAAAATGTATGCTTATGAATAATTACAGCTGACACGTGCGATTCGTCATGAAGCCAAGCTGTCCCGCATATCATACTTTCGAAATACATTTGAAGCACATCTTTGGAAATGGTTTAGATTTCGCAAATTATGATCAAGGTAAAGCTGGAGGACATGGAAATCAAATTAAATTCACCCTCAGAGCAAGCGGGTTTGCATCAAACAGAAGTACAGAGGAACGAGATTTTTTATGAAGTCTCCGGGACCGTCATGAGCGCATAGTCAAAACGGAGTTTACAGTACGTGAAGTTTGGCATATCTTTCAATCTAACGCTGAAAGAGCAAAAATGTAAAAGAAAAGGTCACTCCAAAAAACGTATATCTTTTGTCAACGCTAATAAGAACCTTGCACTAAGTTTAGCCACTAACCGAAGTTTCGTCTTTTAAAGTGCAGGTTTTCCTTATGAAATTCATCTCCAAAGAAGCCCAAAATTCGAACATCGTTGCCGTCATTTTGAACAGTATTCAGCAGCCAGGCAGCGTTTTCGTAACGTCATTCCGTCCGAGAGATTTTGTCCGAATGGCTTCTGACAAGCCTTTTTACTACCTACCACTCTGGGTTATGGCTGCTCTTGAGTCATATAATTTTAAGCCAAACATACTCCAAACTCCGAGATGATAGCATTGAAGTTAATGAAGTGGATAACCGCTCGGAAAAAAAAATACATTTTGCTGACCTTGTGAAGNCGTTATCAGTAGACACTAAATTCAAACATGCCTGTGCATTTGTTTGCATGTGTCATTTTCTGTTATCTAGTGAGAAATGTCAAAATACCAGCACACAAAGCGTTTTTAATAATCCCTTTTGCAAAGCATAATTAATCGTATTTACGGCAAAGTACGGATTAACGGGGCTTAACTCGGTTTTGCTTTATGACTTAATAACGTCAAACTTTCTAAAACAACTTACGCATTATCGACTTGTAATCTGAATACAATACGTTCAGATCAAAATTTTTCGCTAGCTCTAGCCTCAGGCAGGAACTCTGAAGCACTTTGTTAGTTTATTTTGGAGAAATTTACATTATTAGCTTATTAGTTATTGTACATCGCTTTCGTCAGGTAAGAAGTAATCGAGTAGTTGCTTTCAATTCCAATTAATGCATTTAAGTCACTCAAGACTTTGTTTGACAACCATTTTTCACCACGTTGTTAAATGGTCCCTTGTGGGGTCTAGCAATTTTAGAGGAGTGACTTAGCGTTATATAATTTATTCTTCATTTACTGGAAATTGTTGTGGGTGCCCGCAAGATTACACCTAATCCTTCTCTTCCGTTTAATTTAGTTTTCTAGTTTAGCTTTTGTCGTTCTGTAAAGATTTAACCGAAGGAAATAAAGATCGCGTCGTGTGTGGTACGATGACAACGCCACGTAATTGCAATATCAGTATATAATAGACCGTTAATAATGAGTGCCCTTTGAAAGAGAATATTAACATAAATTGGCTATTTCAACTTGGTTGTGAGCTAATTCTCTAAAGATGAAATCGTTATGTTAAGAAAAAACCTTGACTTGTGCCTATGTTTAGCTGTCACAGCTCCTCAAACAAATGTGAAGCCAAGAAAATGAGTTGATTTTGACGTTTTTGGTTGCCATAACAACTCCTACGTAACAAGCTCACTTGGTAAGCAGAACTTAATGAAATGATTCTTGCCATAAAAGACGTCCAGTTTTGACGTCAAAGAGCTGAACCAATCGTTTACCTTGTACTAATCTGTTGCGGAAAAATCTTTTGCCATTCACCAAATTTTGACAGCCTGCAAACATTTCTCTCTTTCAATTCTTCTGCCACAGCCAAAAACACTTTATTCAGACTTAACTGTATTACTTCATGGAATCCAATAGACGACAGTTTGTCTCTTTTTTCTGTCCTCTTTGTTGAATAAACTGAATTCGGTCGGCATACATGTTCGATCGCCGAGCCGCCATCTTGACTTTCGTGCCCAGGTTTTCAATACTCGACGCCGCCAACATTCAATGGCAAATGGAATTAAAATAAAATTTATTGAGTGTAAAATGTAAGCATCCGTATGCTCAATATCTGCGAGGGAGCCTTTTAATATAATGGTAAATTAAGGACATTCAAACGAGCGTACTGAGAAAAAATGTTATTAATCCCCCTTTTTTTCTCGACTTTGCGAAAAATTGGGATTAGTTTTAAAGTAATCAATGCACTAATAACGGAGGTATCGCTTGCCTGAATCTTCGAAAAAAAAAAAAATTTAAGTTTACTGCGGCAAAATCTAAACTATCTGATTCTGCATTTTTTTTTTCAGCGAGCCCGTTACAGACATCTGGTCATTCACTGCTCAGTGCCTCTGTAATATCTTGGTGAAGTTACCGTTTTAGCTCGATCCTGGAGAGCGCGCGCGGGCGCTCATTTTAAAATCTACAAATCCAAGTTGAAGGGCATCCATGTCTCAGTCACAACTCAGTGTAACGTCTGTAGATCAACAGCTGTGCTGCTTTGCTCTCTTAGTTATTGTTTGTCCATTAGCTGGAGACCGAAAGGCTGCCATTACAGATCGTTTTTATATTTAGGCTTTCTATGCTTCGCGCACAGAGCGGCCGCACCGGAGTTTTAATTCAAATGCACTTATTGTTGTTTGCTTCTTCATATTACCTCGACAGCTAGATTCTTGTTCCTTTTCGGTTCTGCTTCCACTTACACAAAGTCAGACGAATTGTCTTTGATCTCATTTTCTCCGGACTCGCCAGATTTTTTAGTTGATCGCCAGACTACCAAGGAGAAAACGCAGGTTATTGCTCCAAAAAGGAGAAAAATAAAGCCAAACGCTGTCAGCACGACAGCCGTTTCTTCAGTCACGTTCCAACAAAATTGCGATTGTTCTTTTCTCCCGAAACACTTGAAACCATAAGTCAAGTAAATGGCTGAAGGAGTGATGAATAAAAACACGCTTAAAGCAAGACCGCATAACCCAAGATCAACCATAGTTTTAAACAATCAATTTCTAGTACGTGCGTTATGTTTGCCGCTTTTCAGAAAATCACAATGATTACGATCTGTTACGTAGAGATAACAACTCCTTAATGAGTAGCCACCACACTCTATCAAGATATTATTGTGCAAATGTTCCTTGAAATTGAAAATGCTAAATTAATACATTGGTATTAAAAAGGAAACTCGTCGTGTTGGTTCAGCTGCCTTGCGAGAATCAGTTTTCGACAAATAAGTCTGCCAGGAAAATTTTCCAAGAAAAAACATCGCTATTGGCAAACTAATCCCCTTTCGTTTTGTTTCGATATAACTCCGCTCTGTGAATTATAGATCGAAAAGGATAAGTAATCCCTTTTTATAGTTTTAATTGTAAGCAAAAATCTAAAATAAATGGAAACTTTAAGCTTTCTCTATGAAGAAGACATTAAGACTCCGCTAAGAAACAGCTGTGTTTGATAAATATTGGCATCAATCCTTTTATTCTTGCAACAGGCAGTATTGTCCGACTGTTCACGAAATACGTGTTACTAAATAAAGATGAAAGGTTTCCAAACCAGATCCGCCGATCAGTGGATCTCAGATTGGCATCCAATTAAAACGCACAAAAAGGACCGCTCAAACATGTCATCTCCCCTGGTGAAAAAAGAATTATAATCCTCATTTCCGACAGGTTATATGTTTTCTAAGGAAGCAAACATAAAAGCTTTAAACGAAGCAGAGGGTTCCTTTATCAAACAGGCACGTATGAATTGTGCAATATTAAAAACGATTTTTTTTTGATGTGTATGATAATTTATTAATCTGACATTCAAGCGATTATTGACTGAATTCAAGCCTGTCTGAATATTTCCCGGTTGTAA